ATGAAAGTGTCCTTTGTGAGGTGTATATCTGCCTTGAAAAAGTAAGCAAATACAGCAAAACTTTGTTCACTTTGAATACCCATTTATGATTAGGTATTTAAAGCCATTTACGATCATTCACATTTCAAAGTGAACAGCCTCTACCTCTAGCAATTAATCCAATTATCTTTCTACAGTCCTAAATTTCTGCTTTGTTTTACTACCCTTGGTTCTTGCACACTGCTGTTACACTGGCAGGCCATGTTGCATTACCCCTATTGCATTACCCCTGTTAAAATTAACGTGGTCATTACGGGTTCCAGTGACTGATTACCAACCAGAACAGCTATAATTTGTTTACAGCTAAACTCCAGCTAGAATGTTGTTTAGTTTTGTGTACTGTTGGGTAAATTTCTGCTCACTTTCTGATCCAGAAATGTGAGGAGAATTCCCCTTTAGACAGTTGTACCTAGAATAGGAGTACTCAGTTAAAGGTTTTTTTTTTCCTCACCTCTCCTTCTGGGGACAGCTCTAACATTTTGAATTTTCCCTCACTTTCTTTCTCAGTGACAATGGTCACCTGGACAAGTAAACAAGTGAATCTCCCAAATGGGGACACAGCTTAACACAGGGTCTAACAATTCCCTATTCTATCCAAAACAAACAAAACAAAACAAAAAAAGATTCCTCCTAGAGAAAATCTGTAAGTCCTCATGCACACTGGACATTTTTACAGCTGCTGTTTTTGGCTTTTGATGTTTTTTTCTACAGCCAGTAAAACCCCCAGTATTTTATCCTATGTGTCCATGCACACATAGACTGTAATCAACATTTTTTGGCAGGGGCATTTTTTGGCTGGAAAAAAAACCCAAAACTAGTGGGTTTCTACAGGAGTTTGTTAGCTGTAAAAACTCTGTAACGCTGAAAAACGCGGCAAAACACGGTAAATCATGGTAAGTCACAGCAAACCTGTGTTTTTGGACGGTTTTTTTTTTTTTACCCAAAAAAATAAATTTTTTGGTATACAAAATGCTAAAAAACGGAAACGCGAAAAAACGTGTCAAAACGCCGCTAAACACTAATGCAAAAACACTGAAAAACTCATGTTTTTAAGGTGACTTTACACAGCTAACGTTACCAGCATTATTAAAACGCCCAGTGTACATGGAACCTAAATCTGTACGTCAACATTGTGCTTTGTTTTGTTTTTAAATTTATGATGTTTAGCCAGTAATAAAATTGTTCCCTCCTTATCAATGACTACGAGGCCAATAGAATAGTTATGAAAATATATACAAATCAGTGTAAATATCTATCATGCATGCTTTCTTTGAACTGATCACACTTTAGCACATATTTAATAAAACACTGCTCTGATTAGAAGACTCATAATTTTTGACAGTTATTTTGGTATCCGGTGACTCTGAATTTCTGATCTGTGAAACCTTCATCATTCTGGGTGTGCAAGTAGGGACATTAACCACTTGCCCTCCAGAGGATTTACCCCCCTTACTGACAAGGCCTCTTTTTGCTACTCGGCATTGCACTAATTCAACTGATAATTGCTCGGTCATGCAATGCTGTACCCAAACAAAATTTACATCCTTTTTTCACACAAATAGAGCTTTCTTTCAGTGGTATTTGATTACCTGTGCACCTTTTATTTTTCGCGCTATAAACAAAAAAAAAGAAAAACAATATTTTTTAATTTCTGCTATAAAAAATATATAATAAATGCAAAGTTAGTTATAAATTTAGGCCAAAATGTATTTTGCAACATGTTTTTGGTAAAAAAAATCCAAATAGGTGTATATTGATTGCTTTGTGTGAAAGTTATAGCGTCTACAAACTATGGTATAGATACTGCAATTTACACAGCTTTTACTTTCTGACTGCCCATCACATTTCTTGAGATGCTAAAATACCAGGATAGTACAAACACCCCCAAATGACCCCTTTTCGGAAAGTAGACACCCTAAGCTATCTGCTGAGAGGCATATTGAGTCCATGAAAGATTTATTTTTTTCCACAAGTTTCTGGAAAATGACAAAAATATATTTTTTTTACACAAAGTTGTCATTTAAATGATATATTTCTCACACAAACCATGGGCATATGTGGAATTACACCTCAAAATACATTCTGCTACTTCTACCAAGTATGGGGATACCACATGTGTGAGACTTTTTGGGAGCATAGCCACATACAGGAGCCTGAAATCCAATGACCACTTTGAAAGCCTGAAGGTGCATAACTTCCTCATTTCACTTCCTCACTACCTATCACACTTTGGAGGCCCTGAAATGCCAGGATAGCACCAACCCCCCCCCCCTTTTTGGAAAGTAGACACCCCAAGGAATTTAAAAAGAGGCATGGTGAGTATTTTGCAGATCTCATTTTTTCTCACAAGGTTTTGAAATATAAAAAAAGAAAAAATATGTTTTTTTTTTCTTCATTTACCAAAAACTTGTGGCGACAAATGAGATCTGCAAAATACTCACCATGCTTCTTATGAAATTTCTTGAGTTTGTCTACTTTCCAAAAAGGAGTCATTTGGGGGGTTTGGTTCTATCCTGGCATTTCAGGGCCTCCGAAGCTGTGATAGGTAGTCAGGAAGTGTAATGAGGAAATACATCCCTTTAAAAGCCTGACTGTGCTTATTGGATTTTGGGGTCCTGTACTTGGTTAGACTGCCAAAACGTCTCTCACATGTGGTACCTCCATACTCGGGAGAAGTAGCATAATGTATTTTGGGGAGTAATTCCACATATACCCATGGCCTGTGTGACCAATAAATAATTTAAGTGAAAATTTTGTGTAAAAAAAAAATGTTTTTTTTTTTGTCATTTTCCGAAAACTTGTGGTAAAAAAATAATTATTTTATTGATTCAACATGCCTCTCAGCAAATAGTTTGGGATGTCTACTCTCCAAAAAGGCATTGTTTTTTTTGGGGGGGGGGCATTTTATGCCCAGCATTAGAAGTTTATGCCACATATCACTCACTCTTCTAACCACCTGAAGATCAAGCCTTTTTCTGACACTTTTTGTTTACATGAAAACAAATTTCTAGGAAATTAATGTAAACCCCCAAACATTATATATTTTTTTAAAGGAAACGCCCTACTGAATAAAATGGTGTGTGTTCCAATTTTTTATGTCACATAGTATTCGTACAACGATTTTTCAAATGCAATTTAAAAAAAAACACTTTTTTTACTTTTAATGCACAAAAACACAATATATTGGCCAAGTATTTGGTAAACTATAAAAGATGATGGTATGCTGGTTGCCGAGATGGTATGCCTTTACAAGCTACCATTTTAGATTTACAGAGAAGGTCTAGTGTTAGAATTACTGCCCTTGATCTGACGTTCATGGCGATACCTCACATCCATGGTGCAACCACTGTTTACATACCGCCACAGGGTCAACGCTCGTGCACACAGGTGTGCGCGCGTGGGGACGGTGAGGATGATTTTTTTTTTTTTTAAGCTATTTTGATTTTTTTATTATTTTTTACACTGTCCCTTTCATTTTTTTTATCACTTTTAATGCTATCTCGGGGAATGCAAATATCCCCTGTATCTTCAATGGGCATTGTCATATATTCTTTTTTGAGAAATCTGGGGTCTATCAGATTCTAGATCTCTCCTCTGCCCTTACTTTATCTAATCAAACCAAGATCGGTGTGATCAGATGCTTTCCCAATTTACAAATGGCAGTGTTTATAACCTGCGAAACTGAAGTGATGAAATGCTAGTAGCTTCCGATTTCTTAGACTATAGAGATTATTGGCACCATTCTGGTCTCAAATCAGCTCTATGGTCAGCTGGCATAAACCCCGGCTGCATTCTCAGGTTCCCCCGATGACATGGGACTGCCCGAGAAGGCCGTGGAAGGCAGCAGGGGAGGGGGGCATCATCTCCCGCTGCTTGTAAAAGCAATCCTGCTGCTATTTAGCCACTAGGATTGCTTTTACATGAAAGCTGATTGCAGGCTGAAAAAAAATTATACCAGGATGATGCCTGCAGCTGTAGGCATCATCCTGGTATAACCATTCAAAGTTCAGTGATGTACCAGTACATTGCTGGTCCTTGTTGGGTATATATGATATGTTCTTTTTTTTTTGTATGCAGCCTGTGGACTGAATGAAAAAAAGAGAAGAAATCTCTGCCAGAAAAAGTGTGTGGTATACCCACCATTAGAATATACCACCCTGCATCCACCCACCTCTATTGGTGGGCACACATTAGGTCACACGGTGCCACATGCGCCAGTTCCAAGATTGTACAAATGTCTAAATAGTGGCACACTTGAATAAAAATTGTCCAGGTATAAGTGGTACCCCATATGGAAATATGATGACACCAAGTCCCAAACTATCACTGCTCCTCATGTAGTCTGGGCATCTGGGGGGCTCCACTTGACTTTTCCCTCATAAATCCGAAACGTATATGTATAGCCTGTTGCCCTCTCACAGGTCTTCTACATCTTGACCCCATATCTGGCACGCTGGGGAGAAATTGTTTTTGAATGCAAGGCGGCCAGAATCATTAATGAGTGACTCATCAATGCAGATTTTTTTGCTGGGGAGTATAGACATCTGCAAATTTTTGGTTAAGGTGATTTACGAGAGGCTTAATTTTGTGGAGCTGGTCAAATTCAGGGTCACCCCAAGGATGACCGAGTGTGTTGTCATTGAAATGCATAAAACACTTTATACTCTCTTATCTATGCCTGGCCATGTCAGTAGAGAACATGGGCATATGATGAATCGGGTCTGTGGACCAATACAACCGCAATTCATTTTTTTAGTAATGCCCATGTTGAGGGTTAGGCCCAAAAACACGTAAATTCGGAAACCGTAATGGGGTTCCATGCAAATGGTCCGGCAAGGTTTGAATTTGGGTTGTGGTGCATATAAATTGCTTTGATCCATAATCAATGCATACAGATCTTGTGTGAAAAACAGCTCCAAAAAATCAAGGGGAGTAGTTAAATTTGCTGTTTCCACCTGAATTCCGTGTTGGGCAGTGAATGGGGGGGGGGGGGGGGGGTACGGGTGCTGCAGAATTTGTGGGCTGCCAATCGGGATTTGCAAGCACATCTGGAAGGATACTAGGGGCTCTAGAGGCCTTTGTGCAAATTTTTGGTGGTTGCAGGACAATACTTGTGCTCGCCACCGCACCAGCTTGTACTGCACTTATGTAACTTGCCACGTCACGTGATACAGTGATACTGCAGTGCTGGTATTATTATTATTATTATTATACAGGATTTATATAGCACCAACAGTTTGCTCAGCACTTTACAATATAACGGGAGACAATACAGCAACAATACGGTTCAATACAAGAGGGTCAGGAGGGCCCTGCTCCTTGGAGCTTACAATCTAAGAGGCATGTGAAAGACCGGGATATACTAGGTCACTAGTGCTCACCAATTCACCAAAAGGTAGCGTGGCACTAGTACTGGCACTCTGCTGCATGTGAGAGTCATCAAAATTTACCGGCAAGTGCTGACAGAGATCAGGCCTGATTCTGCGAACACTTCAGTTTTGTGTGCAATGTATCAAGTGATAGTGACCTACTGACACTGCACTTGCTGGGGGAGAAGGGGGGGGCTAAGCATAGGGGCTAAATGCAGGTGCTGGCAGGTGCCTGGGCTGATCCTTCTAACGCTGCATTTTTGGGGACGCTATACTAATGTGAATGCTGGTATAGTGTTGATCTGATCAAAGATATTGATCCATTCAGACACTATACTAGCAATGGAGGTTTATTGTGTATGAGCGTGTTCCTGGCAATCAAGGGGTTAAATGTGATTACTGGTGTACTGACAGCAATCTGATGCTATGTGGGAGGGGCGTTAAAACCACAGGAGCGCAATTCACGTATATATATGTGATTTTGTGCACCCGTGCCGCCCTCTAGCAGTATTTCTGCTATAGGGCGGTCAGGAAGCGGTTACATAAGTGGTTTTTGTTATGGCGCTGCGTTAATTTAACTAACAATTGCGCAGTCATGTAGCGCTGCACCCAAATGAAATGTACGTCCTTTTTTCCCCACAACATGAGCTTTCTTTTGGTGGTATTTGATTGCCTGCGCAATATATAAAAGAAACATTTTTTTGAGAAAAAAAATATATTTTGGACTTTTTGCTATAAAACATGTCCAGTAAAAAAATGTTAAAATCAAATTTCGTTATAAATTTCGGCCAAAATGTATTCTGCGACATGTCTTTGCTAAAAAAAATCCCAATACATGTAAATTAATTGGTTTACGTGAAAGTTATAGCGTCTACAAATGGCATTCAGTATATATACTGAAATTTATTTTATTTTTTATACTAATAATGGCGGCAATCAGTGAGTTATGGCGGTGATCAGCGAGTTATGGTGGGACTACGGGACATTCTGACACTGGGGGGGAACTGACTTGGGGTCAGTGACATCCCAAGTGACACCAATACAGTGCTCAGTGCAAAAAAAACCCATTGAAACTGTACTAATGGCACTGGGAAGGAAGGGCTTAACAATGAGAGACAATCAAAGGGTTAACTGTGTGAGGGGAGTGTTTTACTAGGGGGAGGGGGGGTGTACTTCACAGTAACAAGCTCTGCTTTCCGGATCAGTGTGCTCAAACTGACAATGAGCAGAGCTAATTGCCGGCCGGGACCTGGTGATTGACACCCGCGGCCGTGATCGGTGGTGCCCCTACCCAAAATGCGAAATCACGTATACATACGTGATTTTGTGCAGCGGTGCTGCCCTGCTGCAGTATATGTACTGTGGCTGGTTAGCAACTGGTTAAATCAAGCCCTTTGTTTACAATTTTCTTTCTGTGCTCTTATAGTACTTCCCTATCCAGAAAATTGACGGCTCATTGGTTGACACCATCACAGAACTTTTATTTTGGAGCTTAAGATGCAGGAGTGGTGAATATGCTGAGATATGAAATGTACATAGAACCTGTGTTGAGCTTGCATGAGTGGAAAAAAGTAAATTTTAATTAGACAATTTCCACTTTTGTTAAGAAGTTTTACTCATATTAGGGAATATTAACCACTTGACCTCCAGAGCATTTACCCCCCTTAATGACCAGGCCTCTTTTTGCTACTCGGGCGCTGCACTAATTCAACTGATAATTGCGCGGTCATGCAATGCTGCACCCAAACAAAATGTACGTCCTTTTTCACACAAATAGAGCCTTCTTTCGGTGGTATTTGATCACCTGTGCGCTTTTTATTTTTCACGCTATAAACAAAAAAGGCTAAAAATTTTGAAGAAAAACGATATTTTTTACTTTCAGCTATAAAAAATATATAGAAAACTCAAAGTTGGTTATAAATTTAGGCCAAAATGTATTCTGCTACATGTTTTTGGTAAAAAAAATCCCAATAAGTGTATATTGATTGCTTTGTGTGAAAGTTATAGCGTCTACAAACTATGGTATAGATACTGCAATTTACGCTATTTTTTTGCTATACAGCGCTGCGCTAGTTTAACGGCCAATTGAGCGGTCATGCCAAACGGTACATAATGAAATTTACATCCTTTTTTTCCCATAAATTGAGCTTTCTTTCGGTGGTATTTGATTGCCTGTGCGGTTTTTATTTTTTGCGTTATAAAAAAAAAGGCTGACAATTTTGAGGAAAAAAAACAATATTTTGGACTTTTTGCTATAAAACATGTCCAGTAAAAAAAAATTTTAAAATCAAATTTAGTCATAAATTTCTGCCAAAATGTATTCTGCGACATGCCTTTGCTAAAAAAAAAAACCCAATACGTGTAAATTAATTGGTTTACGTGAAAGTTATAGAGTTTACAAATGGCAGGAAAGATACTGGGATTTTTAGTTTTTTTTTATACTAAAAATGGCGGCGATCAGCGACTTATGGCGGTGATCAGTGACTTATGGCGGCAATCAGCGACTTATGGCGGGACTGCGGGACAGCGGCGGACATTCTGACATTGGGGGGTACTGACTTGGGGTCACTGACATCCCCAGTGAAACCAATACAGTGATCAGTGCAAAACAAAAACCACTGACACTGTACTAATGGCACTAGGGAGGAAGGGGTTAAGTTATTATTCAGGGAAAAGGTTAACTGTGTGAGGGGAGTGTTTTACTAGGGGGCGGGGGTGTGTACTGCAGGGAACACCACTGATCGGGAGAGAGAAACTCTTCTGTCCTGATCAGCGTGTCCTGGAGCTGTCAGGGAACTGACAGAAAGCACAGCTACTGCAGCTGTGCTCTCTGTCAGCGATTGCCGCCGATCGCCGGGACATAGCCCGTAACGACCGGCTGTGACCCGGCGACTGACATCCGCGGCTGTGATCTGCGGGACGGGTAGGGCTGCGGCACGCCTCGCGCGCACCCCCTACCTGTTTTTAAAACACACGCTTTTAAAACGTGCTTTTACCCAGCCGTGCCACCCTGCCGCCGTATTTCTACAGTGGCTGGGCGGCATGTGGTTAAAGGAATAAATATTTTGGTACCAATTTAAAATTTGGTCAACCTGTAATCAGGTAATCAGACTCTGCTCATCAGGCAAAAAAATGCTTAGCCAGATGAAGCAAACTGAAAGGCTTTAGACAGGGGAAAAAAATATTCAGAGGTTTGAAATTTTGTCAGCATTTTACATGTCATTCAAACATCAGTCAACCAGTGTTAACCTCCTTGGCGGTATTCGGAGTGTAGCTCGGGGTAAAGTTTCTGTACCAAAAGCGGTAACCCCGAGCTACACTCGGGCTTACCATGCGGCGCTGCATAGGGAGTCCCTGCAGAGCTTACCTTGTCCTTCGCTCCCGCGATGTGTCCCCTGCAGCATCCCCGGCCATCTCCTCCGGCTGATGCTGGCATCCGGCTTCTGTGTTCCGGTCCCTGTGACGTCGGGACGTATGGGCGCCGGCGCCCGGCGGGATATTTGAAAATTTTAGAAAAATTTCATTTTTTTCAAAACAAATTTTACATAGTAAAACATTGCTGTTTCAAACCATTTCACATACATTTTGTCCCTAGTGCTTTGTCCTGTCCCCTGTCTGCATTTTGACTGTTCTTTCTGCCTGGAAACTTAGAAAAGTCCATTGCGTCCAAAAAGCGTCCCTTTAGGTCAAAAACGGGTTTAGATCAGCTAGAGAACAGTGATAGTAAATCAGAACCACTTGCAGAATTGAGTGATAATGATTCGTGGAGAAATTCGTCATCAGACACTGAAAACAATTTTGCGACTTTGCTCAGTGATGTGTGAACTTGGCGCTATATTTCAAATTTCAGTGTTTTTGGTTTGATTATATTATTGAATTAAATGTATTATTATTATATTATTATTTTTTATGATTATTTATTAAATTATAATTTATGATTTTGTGTTTCAAATTTTATCATACCCGGGATGTTTAATAGACTCTTGTTCGGACAGATTTCAGTGAGTTATTCCTAAATATTACAGCCTACAATAAAAAAACTACATATTTCCATGCAAATAATGGTACCGCTTTCAGCACCAAAAATCTGAAATAATCATACCGCCAAGGAGGTTAAATCTCTACATAAATGTCACCCTTATCTACCTATTGGAGCTGGAGCTGATAAAAATGTATTTCTATGCAATTTTGATAGAAGATTACCATATGCTGTATGGGCAAACTACAAATATGTATTGAGGACTGGGGCCATATGGCGATCATATTACAACTATTGGGAGCTGACTGAACAGTGATACTGATTGATCGCTGGGTGGATGAAAACCATGAATATTCCTGAGAACATTACAATCCCTACCTCATATGCATGCATACACATAGTCGAGCCAATTTAGACAAGATCCAATACACCTACCAGCATGTCTAGCAATAGGTAAATCTGATGGGTTTGATTCAAGTTCAGTGAACACAAAAATCTGCTGACTGCAAAGTTTAATGCCGTATAAATATATCATCAACATAGTCATCAATAGTTATAGATCCTCATTAATCTTGATAAACGCCAGCCACCAGCAAGCTAAATCAAAACAAGATGACCACCAATGTTTGCTCCTAACAGACTCCTCACATGACAAATCCTCATCCAGAAGCTGAATGTAGATAATAGGGTTGGAGTATCCCAGGAAATTATATTGACTAAATATATCATGACAGTATTTTTCAATGACTTCACCTGGGATACCCAGCCCCTTTGTTTAAATTCAGTTACAGGACTGGCAGCTGTCGTTTGTGTTGATCGGTCTTTCAGGAGAAAATTCATCTGTACTTTTTGGCAGGTTGTTGGGATCATCATTCAGAAGAGGGATGGCTGTATCTAGGCATCCCCTTACTTTAAAAGGTCTTCCAGATTCTGAAAATTCCTCAAGAAGACCCCAACATTCCCCAGGGCAGGGATGCAGGAATGAGGCCCTTGTCCTTCTCAGCATGGGGACAAATGCTTTGCCAGGGGTTCCCCCATGGCAAGGTACACTTTCCACATTGAGCACATGTGACCTGAATGGTTCACACCCCTTC